CATTTGGTACAATCGAACCTCTCCATACGGACACCTCTCTGATACGGACCGTTTCCTATTTACCGACAAAATTCTGGTACATTTCCTCTAAAAACAACTTCTATAATTCGGACCCTCTCTAAAACGGACAACGGACACTAAATCTTGGTCCTACGAAACAAATTCATACAGGTGGAGGACTAGGTGTCAATAATTTGCGGTGTGTACCATTTCCTGTCGGCGGTTACACAAACATTGACACTTTCTCATTCAGCGATACCAGAACCAGAACATGTCACTTTTGGGCCTGATTTTAGTTACTTGACACTCTAAACTGTCAGTGGAGACTTAAAAGTGAAGTCATCATAGTGGCCTTTTAAAACGGACACCTCTCTACTACAGAAACTTCGCTCTGTCCCTACGGTGTCCGTATTAGAGAGGTTGAACTGTATTTGGTAAAGACTTATGTGTAAATAGTTAACAGAAAGCAATCGCATTTCTTACAAACAGAAATCATTCCACCTACCTTGGCACTGAAGTTCGGTCCCACTCCACTGTCCAGTTTCCAAACAAGTTCTTTTCTGTGATCCCCCTACAACCTCGTATCCCAACATGCAACTGAAAAAGCAGGATGTGCTGTAGCTAGAGCTTGGTCCACTGCAGCCGTACCCGGACTGAATGGCGTGGTCGGAAGTATTCAGAGGTGGACATTGAACAGCTGAGACAAAAATATCATATAATTGAAAGAAGCACCAAAACCACCAAAACAAAAAAAACAAAACAAAACAAGATTAAGACAGCTTATAAAAAAAAAGGTTTTGTGAAGGCGTGGTGGTGTGAAGTTTAGTGAATCTACCCTGGAATATCAATTGATACCGATTAATTGTTGTAGCTACCTCACAGAAGCTTGAGAGTGGGTTCGAGGGGGGAGGGGGGCTGGTGAGGATACGCTTTATGCTACAGAAACAGCAGATAAACGTCGAGAGCTGCGAAAAATCTGAAAGTTGGGCTTAACAGCTTTTCATTTGTGTTTTAAGTAAAAAAGGCTGACCATACGATGCATCCTAACAGAACGGTCCACATTATTTACTATACTCGTTTGAATTCTTTACAATTTGCTGAGTTTTCGTTAACCTGCAGATATTTTTGTTGCACAGGTCATCGCATCAACGAAAGTTCAAATAAGGATTTACAGATGAAAATGTTGAGATTCAAACTGGAACTTTCACGGGCCACTATGACGGAATCGACAAGATATGCCCATAGTAACTTACCCTCACAAAAAGTTGTATTTCCTGTCCATTGTACCACATTTGTACCTGCTATCCTGTCGCACTTTCTCTCAATAGATCCCCTCAATTCATACCCCTTGTAACACGCTAAGCGGCAGACACGTCCATAGACATTTCCACAGGCCGCATTCTCCAGTCTGCCGTTTGCTGGTGCAAACAGCACAGGACATCGAAGAACTAGAAAGGAAATGTTGCCAGGTGAACTAACCGTCCTGGTTTGAACGTTAACAATACGTTAATTAATGAAAACGACTGATACCTTGTAAACTCTGTTGGTAGTGCTGGTTAGGCTCCCCCACCCCCATCCCTCCTTCCGCTCCCCCAAAAAACACAAACAAACAAAACAAAAAACAAAACTAAACGAAAAAAAAAAACAAACAAACAACAACAACAAAAAAATAAAAAAATAAAAAGAAACGAAAAAGAAAGCAACAAACGTTTTGTTGTTGCTGTTTTTATCATTATACTTTGTTTTTAATTTTAATGCACTTGTTATATAGAGGCAGAACCCGTTGTGATGTCATCTTTAGACCAGAATGGCTCACCCACGCGTTTTAATAGACAGGGTTATCCAATCTTTTCCTATTCTGTTTTCAGTTAATTCTACTTTAAAGATATTTTCAACTATAAATTTTAAAAAACGGAACATCTTTTCTTTTTTTTTTTTTTGGAATACGTTGGGAACAACGAGAGCTTAAGCTCTCAGACGCAGCTAATCTGACTTTGTTGATTGATTGCATTTTTCTTTCACGTAACGACATATTTAGCGCCGATGTATTTTTTTTCCCTAACCTTGAACAGTTACATGGAAGTAGCAGAGTTTCGTGTTTCCTGATGGATCTGTAGCAGTGTAGACCACGGTATGACTTCCCTCAGAAAAGACGTGTGGTGACGTCACTTCAGGAGACACAGTAACATTAGACTGATCGTTATCTGTGGCTGTAACAATTCCCCAGATTACTGTGGCTGAGGTTTTCCCTTCATCCGCGAAAACACTTTGTGCAGATGGACAGGTTTCACCAAACGAGGGTGCTTCGTTGTCTTCAAACAGAAAAGCAACGACTGAATTATTTGCATGTTGCTTGACATGCAGCCATTGACCTTGCTAGTCGGGCAGGAGACAATTAGTGAGACAGTCAGTCAGTCAGTCAGTCTGGCAGTCAGGCAGTCAAGTCAGTCAGCAATGCAGTCAGTCAGTCGTCAGTATTGGTCGGTAAGTCAGTTCCCTTTAATTTGAAGCAATGTAGGATTCAAGTCTTAGTGTCCTCGCTATAATCGCTCTAAATGCACTTCCTTTCATCTTCTGGTGTGTTTTATGCTACACCACATGCTGCATGCTGGCAGTTTACAGTTATCAAAGCTGAGCTATTTAAAGATTTACCTTGGCAGTAAAATCCACCTTGCGTCCAGTAACCATTGTCACAAGTGCTTGAACTAGTCCCAATGCGTGCGTAGCCTGGGCTACATCCGTAAGAACATACTTGACCATGGAGAGGTTTTGTTTTACAAATATCAGGACTGATTTGGCCATTGTCCGGGGCACTTAAGGCTTGGCACTCGTGAACTGAAATAAGAACCACCAGTGAGCACTACAATATTAGAAAATCGTAGTTTACTTTATTTGCTTATGAAATGTTCACTAAAAGAGAATCCTAATCACAAACTTTTGGTGTTGTTAGTCTTTTTACAACGCTTTATGATATTTTAACAACAAATATGAAACTAAAAATATTTCACATGTTATGTGCTTGTGTGTCCGTCAGTTATTGGCTAATTTTTAATCTAGAAAGGATAGAAGAGTGATATGAATTGTCGCGAAGTTTTTACTTATTGATCTTAGGTCCGGTTGATCTTAAGTCCAGTTGTATTTTTGCCGGTTTGACAAGAACCGGCGCCTAAAATTTCAGTAGCTTGGATTTTCTTACTACCTTGGCAGTTTGCGGTCGTCCTAGGAGCCCATTCTCCATCACTACCGCAAACAGAGCCTGAAGATCCGCTTAGTTTAAAGCCATGATTACAAGTGACCGTGCAATAAGTGCGAGAGTGCACCTGTGAATGACTGTTACAAGGTGAGGATATCTGTCCATTACTTGGAGGCGGCCAGTCGCTTGTGTCACAAGTGATTCCTAAAAAGTGGAAAAATATCACTTCATTGTTTTCACGTGCGGAAAAAGATCTTTTCTTTTTAAATCGCAGAAAGACATGTGGCAGCCTAATTCTTAGTGCTCTTATCCCCGGATTGGGCAGTCAAGACCCAAGGGTGGGGGGGAGAACTTCCTTATATAGACTGTATATGTATGTGCGACCCCAAAGGGGATCGTTTTTAAGCCGTTTGGTCATAAATGGGGAATCGATTTTGGCCATTTTGGTCATAGATAGGGTTTGCATGGTTTTTGCACTCTGGTCTTGAACTGGGTATGTTTTTTTAGAAGAAGTTACTTTTTCATCGTCATCGATAAGGCCATCAACAAAAGTCCCTCACGATGCATTTTAACGTCGGTCGAACTAGGTAACTAGTGATAAGGTAGGTTTTGAAACAGGGTATTGATTAAAGAGTCAGGTCATAAATAGGGTATCGAATTTTTGGTCAGGTCATAAATTGGATAGGTAAAATAGCAGAGTTTGGTCATCAATAGTGGGTAAAGGTTTTAGGAACGGGGCAGCACACCGCCACTCATTTTTTCTGAGAGTACCCTCCCCACGAAGGGGGGTTCAGAGACAGTGAACATTGAGTTGGGCAAGACACGTTACTCTCACAGTGTCTCCTTCCACCCAGGTGTACAAACGGGTACTGGCGAGTTTGATATCCCGGGGTGTCCGCATTAACAGCAAAAATAGTCTAAGGCACTTTATGCTACAGAAACCAGAATGAATTCCGGTGCGATGGGAAACTTGGGCAATACCGCTAGTAAAAACCAGCCTTATAGATACAGCCCTGATGTTCTCATTTGCTCTGAAAATCGTCAATTTTATCTCTTCGTTGAAGACACCAATCTCCTATATTCAGACAAAAACTTTAAATCACTAGAAAACCTTGTCGAAGCAGGACTAATGTATAGATTTAGCCAAGCCTAAAAGCGGAGCTCCTCAGTTACTTATTAGGATGTTGTTAATAAATAAAATTATTATACATTGTAGTCACCATCTGTCTTCTCATTGGCTAAAAAAACCTACAATTAATTCTGGGAAACAGCGCAACCTACAGATTATTATCAACTACAGATTATTTTTAGCAGATCAGTGAATAATCTGTACGTTGCGCTTAAAATATTACAATTATTTCAATTAATTCATAAGGATATATTCTGTTCCGCTGTAAGTTTCCATTCTGTTTGTATCTTTATATTTGTGTGTGTGTAAGTGTGTTACCGACCGATAACTGTATAAATAGTCTGTGTAACTTAATGTCTGCCCATTCTTTTTAGCCCTTATGGTTATTTTGGGCAGGCAGTACTCTATACTAATTT